AGTGGGGGAATAGGAGAAAAGGTGGGAGGTGGAGACACAAGGCAACAAAGCATGCTGGTCACCAAAATTGCAAAATTAATTGGTCACACCCATGTGGCTGAGTTTGTTATGTGCAATTACGCTTGGGCCCAAATTCAGGAGAATAAGGCGCGTGTATGACATGTTGTATTAATAGTGTATGAGCGGAATTTTCCATCCCACTGCCACCGTTTAAAATGATTTCTAAATCCCTAAGTACAATGTAGCTTTGGTCTTTTAATACAATTTACATAAATAAGAATGTAAAGAGACACATCCCATATGCACCATGTTGATCTAAAGAAAGTAGTGATGAGTTGTATATACTATTTAAGAATGACTTGATTTAGTATATGGATCATTTTTAAGATGATTTTTATTTAGTACATAACATGATTATGTTTAAGAAGACATATGTAGGGAAAAGGTGAGGGGAAAGTGTTTTGTTTATCAATATAAAAATGTACAACAAAACTGTCCAGATTAGATGCAGTGCTAGCCTTTAACTGCTGTACAAAGAAAGGCCTTGTGTAGTCATGGAATCAAACCCATGACCCTTTTGATGTGAGGCAACAGGGCAAAGCATTCAGTCTTAGAGCTGCCGAAGTAAGGGGCATATGGGCCATGACACTTCTGGCCTCAGTATGAACAGGATTTTAAAAAAGCAAGCACATAACTTCTATGGGGAGATTATTATCTGCAAGAGTGATGATTTAAAAAGGGGAAATATTATACCACTGCCCTGTTTGCTTTGCCCTCTGATTTTTGTTTTGTTAATCAGTGATACACATAGGATTCAACATTTTGGTTCAAATGGAAAAACAAAAAAAAGGATAAAAATCCACTGCTCGCTAGACTGATCTGAATCAAAACGAAAACACATGCTTTTATTTCTTGTCCTTTTTTGGCTAAATGTTACATACTGTGGCTTTAAAGCTACCATATGCAAGTTTATTTGATTTATTTATTTATTTTTTATCACCAAGGAGATGCCATGCCCTCTACCCTCACCCGTCCTGTTTCTTCTCTCAGGCTTGTATCAGACTGCAGTAACATAGACACCATCCAGTGGTAAGAATACGACAGGGCCAGCTCAGCCAATCTAATTAAAGATGTTAGTTTTAAGTTAAATATATGCAAAGTACTATAGAAAGCAAGATTAAAAAAATATGTGTGGAGCACTTCGGGACACAATCAGAAACCTTCCTTTGATTTTACATTCAGAGCTGAGGTAAAGGTGAGTCTATTGAAAGCACAAAAAAAAACAAAGCAGTTTTTCCTTTCTTTTTAAATTCAAGCGGGGCTACAAGGTGTGTGCAGTCCTGTATTATTAACATGCATTGTTTTAGTCAGTTGTCAGTTCAAAGTCACTAACATTCAATGCCAATGCTGCTGAGTGAGTGGCCCGGGGCAAAACAGACCATTTTATACACACACATACACACACACACATACACACACAAGTGCAGAGTAATGAGGAGACTAGCTCATTTCAGTTGATCAAATCATTAGGCTCAGTTCATTAAAAAAGACCATTTTGTGAGGTTAACCTGCTGGGACCAGATCGTTTACAGGAATTGGAAAATTAAGAATATGCATCTAGACTTCACTTTTTGTATGGCACATCATTACAAAACCTTGTTCTTTGCAGACAGATAACGGGATGGTGTGTGTATTTAACGTGTGAACTAACTCGGTGTGTGTATTTATTGAAAGACTGATAGAAACATACTGAACTTGAGTTTACACTGTAAATGTTAACACCCAAGACATTGAGCTGATCCTCCTGTTAACCAATCATCTCAACTGTCAACTGTACTAGAACATCATTTTAGATCTGACCAAAATGTGTAAGTAATGGGTGTGTGTAAAAGCAGGGTTGAAAAGAAAGTAAGAATATTGTAGTCCAGAAGTAGTTGTAGTTTTATCTTAGTGTTTTAAGTGTTAGTACTGATAGCAGTGAAGAGTGCAGTAGCAGTAATTGGTAGCTATGGAAGCAACAGCAGAAACAGCAGAGACAAAGTAAAGATACTTTCTTTAGACATGTTAAGTACAAATGTTTTTATTGCCATAAAGTATTAAAAAACATGAATTCTTACTGTGTGATTTGGCTGAGTGGCATCACCAGCTCGTCCCAGTGGAGAGGAGTGCGATGAAATACTGTGGCACAATTTAGGCAAAGGCATAATATGAAAAATCTGGGGGAAAAAATGACATAGTGTTAAAGTTATTGTAGTGACAGTTGTGATATTAGAATACTCTTTTCATAGTTTTTCATTCATGGGTTATTCTAGTTTCCACATAACATTAAATACTGAAGGATGAATTAGAAATGCTGTAGTGGTGGTAGTAGTAATGTGTTGATATTGTGTTGACTTTTATTTTTGACAAGAAGCTGGGAAAAAGCAGATTTTAAGATTTGAAACTGCAGCATTCCCAACAGTCTTCAAATGTAATGTGGAATTGTATCTTTTTTTTTTTAACATAACAGAGACCTAAGTACAATGAAATTACGCTGGATGCAGAACACTTGAAGAATGCACTTTGTTTTGGCAGAACTGAAAGGTCACAGTTGAAGACAGTGGCTAATCAGAAGTTGTGGCGGACAGAAGTTATTCTTAAGGTCATGTTCAGTAAACTGGAACCACTGTTGCACTGGGGCCTGTGGTTATGCAACATGCTCATTCTGCTGACACGGACAAATGTCACTGTGCACTTCACTTTTATAGATATTCTTTGACTGGAAAGAGCCTAAAATAGTATAAACCAATTCTCTCATCGAAAGGCATATGGGTCTCATATGAGCCTTGCATGTGGGATGCCAGTTCAGTTTCTATGACTAAAATTATTTGGAAATAAACCTAAAAGAAATTAAATGAATCTCTCTCTGCAGCTCAGTGCATGAATTCTGGAGGTTCTGAGCTTTCTGATGAAGCATGAGTCTTGCATGGGTCCTCTATACAGATTAAGGCACTAAAAACCCATGTTCAATTGTGATTCTACTTCCTTTTTTAAACAAGCAAAAGCGCAGGCTACTACCTTTAAATCAACCAATCCAGCGTCTGAATATTAAGAGTGGTCATTATGTCATGTCTGAATAGAACATTTTAAATGGTAACAATGATGGGACTGTATGATTGTTGTTGAATATCACTCACTTTCACTGAGAGGAAATTCTCCATACATCAATGGCCTACTTCAGCTGTGAGCCAGCCTGTCTCTGCGCCTGGCACACCAAACTCTCCTAGGACTCAAATCAATTAAGTGAAATGGATGGGAAATGAAACAAGTGAACATAATGTTGAACCATCTTTGAATTTGTCTTGTGTCCAGAGTCGGCCTGTTCCACATCAGAAGGACATCATGGCGCGCATGACAAATTGACAACAGCTGCAAGTCTAAGCTCAAGATTCACAAAGTCCTGCTTTTATTAGAAACAAGTGAAGTGAATGATGCAAAGTGAATAATGACGTCCTCTCTATGCTCTCCGTCTCAATATTTCATAGTAAGTGATGATCTCCAAAACAAAAAGGGAATCGTGGCATCCATATTTCACAGAGGAACAATGCAATGCAACTGACGCACAGAGTGAGGAAATGTGCTTACAAAGCATCAAAAGAACTGTCACACAGTATGGATGGCTGCAGAATAATATAGGGCACTGCTGGATGGATGTAACAAGCTTCATCGCAACATGCACCATTTGATCACATAATACAAAGTGTGTGTGGTGTGTGTGTGTGTGCGGGACATGCACCATTTGATCAGCTAATATAAAGCTTTGGTGCTGGTGTTTGTGCACAACTTTGGCTTGACACGGCTCATTTAGCCAGACAAAAGTTGCAGAGCACCGGCTGTGATTGTGACGTGCAGCAGATATAGGTGAGAGGGAGACGTCTGAATCTGAGCGCCATGCTTGGTTTCCTCTGATAATACAGCCTGTATGTGGATGTGAGGGACAACAGGACTGTGTCTAACAACAGGGATTTCTCATTGAGACAGCCATAACCTGAGAACAACCATGTATGCTGAACGAAGTACTGGTATTTACACATGCTTCACCACCTATATATAGTATATCATCTGCTTGACTTAAAGGTTTCCCTCTGGGGAATGCCACAGGAAATGATCACCTTTCTAGTATGTCGTCATTCACACTCAGCATCAGTTATGGGTATTGTGTGCTCTCTGTCAGATGTTCCTCAGATCGGCAGTAAGAAAGCTGTCAAATTTGATGAGACATACAACACCCATGCAGAACATAGAATGCTGCAGTTTTGAGCTATATAAATATGTATTGATTACCACTGTGAAATTTAAGCATTTTGGGTAAAACTTTATAATAATTATTCTATGAACAGAGTTAATACGAGGCATAATTCAGAATGACAAAATATTTTTTTTAGGAAAGATTCAGGTCTAGTAACTATTTAATAAAGGGGGTTGGGTTAGAAACTAATAGCTGCTGAGCCTGATTCTTCTTAATACCATATTTTCACATTCTGACTTAAGTCTTTCTTCAGGCTTTATTAAGACTAGTTGGTGTAGTTATTATTACATATTAATGCATTTTGTAACTAGCTAGTCATTTGAGTTACAATTGCAGCTATATAATATTTCACATGCATTTGGCACATAAGGCTGCCTATAAAGAAGCATTATGAGTGTCAAAGAGCTGTGGAGACACTTGTGACAGGGGATATAGCACAAACTGATAAAACTGCCGCAGCCCTGACAGAGACAAGCACCACAGAAATGCCACATAGAAATTGGGCCATGCATTATTAAGTGTTTGAGACTTCTAAGCATGTGTTGGGAGCCATGTACCTCAAAACAGACAGATTAGAGCGAATCACAGGCACACTGCTGTATGTGAATGATAACAAGTGAGCAATGTGACATGCAATAGAGGCATGGGGGACTATACAAGTTATTCCACTTTATACGCCTCATATGTTAATAATTCAGTCCGTCGACAACAGTTGAAACACTTGAGACTTTCGCTCATTTATTTAACATTTGGGTTGGTAGTGGCAAAGCTTTTATGAAAAAAACTTGAGTATCTGTTATCCTCCTTCACTGAAGTAACACTCGTTCTATCATACATAATAACAGAATAAAACTTCATAAAATATATACCGTCAATGCTCCTTTTCAAAAATAAATACTTTAAAATTAAGGTATCAAATAACCTTCTAGAAAGCATTATACAAATCTGTACTTTGAAAAATATGATTACCTGAAAAGGTAGGTTATTTCTTTTTTACAAAGGTTGATGAAACAGAAGTGTATGAATAAAGTGTTAACCATATGAAAAAACTAACTGAAAACTTGAAAGTTAAATGTGTACTATGTAACTTTTCTGGGTCAACAAGTGCTGAGATATTATTGCTCTGCCTGGAATGTTCCACAGTACAGCATTAAACTTAACAGACAACACCAGGCCAAATTACAAGGCAGAGCTGTAGAAAAGTGAACCTGCTCAAAGCTCAAAGAATATTAGCAATACAAAGATAACAACTATAATTTAATATTATTCCTTTACTGTGGAATATTCAAGCCAAAGCAATAAAATCTCCATGGTGGCAGACCCACCCCCACTAGAAATGTTACATAGTAAACATGTATGAAAGACAGGGCAGCAGGACAAAACTGTGGTGATGACAATGTTGTTAGAGGAAAAAAAAGATACATTATCTTTTCAAAATAAAAAATCTGACACCAAAAAAAAAAAAAAAAAAAAATTACAATCACATAACCATCAACTGTTTGGTTTGTGTCTTGAAATGTTCTGAAAAATCCCTCTGAATCCTACAAGGAATAGATGAAAACCCGGCTCCATTGTATCGGGCCTGTGCCAACACTTCTTTGATGTCAGTGTGCTCTCTGTGGTGTCAAATCCTCCTCTTGTTCACAGTTATTCATCAGTACAGTTTCTCCACAATGAAGGCCAAAATGGCGCCTGCCAGCGCAAGGCCAATTCCCAGCTTCGTCAGTGCGTCCCGATCAACACTGTAACAGCCAAACAGCGAGACGGAGACACCAGCAGAGGAGGACGAAGACATAGCAGCGGGACTGTGGACGCCATTGGCCATCTGCTCCTGTTGGGGAGGGACAGGCAGCAGATAATTAGAGAGAGATTAAGAGAAGTAGGGCTTTATTATTGTCTCAACACTACATAATAGGACAATTTTGCACTAGCTGGGGATAAGGGCTGTTAGATATGCTATACAGTCCCGCAGTGTCCAGTTTGGACAAATGAAATGAATTCCTATTAACACACTCAAAATGATAGGGATTAAGAAAGCATGTGACAGCCATTACCCAATAACCACAGCTCACAATTTGAGCTTTTATTGTATTTTAACGTATGGAACAAATCTTTCATTTTAAACAATAAAAATGACATTTGCGTAGGATTGTACTGGTGCAATAATAAAAACAAAAACTACAAAAAGTATGAAGAAAAAAAAAAAAAAAAAAATCAAACTTCAGGTATATTTTTGGTTAACTGGGAGCCATTATTATAGCAGTTGAAATTATGGCTGGGGTCCCTGTTTTGTCGTCAAGTCATTATGAGCTGTATAATTGGTTTACTTTGTCACTCTTCGTCAATCCAATTCTTCCATTAGTACTGAATATGCTGTACCATCACCCACTATAACGTTGCTTGAAATCTGAATTAGAACACAGAAATTCATCTTCCTATATCCCCATATGTTTGCATTATCTTTGTTCATTTTCTCTGTGAACTGAAGCTATAGGCTAAATCCGGGGGTTATGGATATGGCATGCAGCCAACGGCCAATCATGCAAATATACAAATCACGCAGAAACATGACGTTCCCTGCTTGGAGTACATGTTGTATAAGCTGCTCTGAAAACATCTTCGTTAAGAGAGGCTGAGGTTTTCCTACAGGCCGAGGAGGCACTATAACAACAGTGTGGGTCGATAATGGACATGTCTGGCCTTCACCATCTCCCTGATCATAATTCTCTTTGATTACACATTTATTTTGTTTTGTTTTATGTACAGAGGAGAGCTTCTTTTTATCCAACTATTAGACAAATTGAAAAGGGTGAAGTAACACCTGTTAACATTTGAGTGTGGAGTGCCCATCGATCGGGTGACCTTGCTCTGGTTAGTGCTCGTCTGACAGTCAGTAAAATGTCTTATCACCATAAAGGCAGATTATGTATGGTGCTATTGAGCGATTGATCAGCAGTCTTCTATAATAACCTTTCATCCAAGCCACAGGGGAGAACCGAGAAATGTTTGGGCAGTTCCCATCGACTTCCATATTCTTCATTCATCTGCCTTATTTACACACACTTCAACTGTACTGTTTCCCTGGATTTCCTCAGCTACTCCCAGAGTGGCCTTCAGAAAGTAGCAGAGGCCTGATAGACACAATGATAAAGGTGAGTACATTAAAATACAGCTAACAGTAAACTTGCTTTCAATGCAATATATTGTATGGTCTTTTCTGCCAATACAACAAAAACAAACAAAAAAAACATACAAAAAACATTTTAAAACACCTGCGTTTAACAGCAAATTGTACCATACAATCATGTCTTGCCCTCCACCTTAATTTTTACCTACATGCAATATTGTAATGTCAAATGAACCCAAGCTATTATGTAATGATCTAGTACAATATAAAATTCAAACATAACAAAACTCATAAACATTTGCAATTAGCTACTTCCAGCTCTGATAAGTAGCAACACTCTTCCCAGTCGCTCTTGTTTAAGTTATCTAATTCACTCTCACTCAGTTTGAGAAATGCAGTGTACTTTTGACCAGTGAACTCACAGTTAAATGATGAGCGAGTGACACCTACCTGAGCGCTGTATGTATAGTATGCTAGAGTGGACGCCCACACGTGTTTGAGTGCTCTGTGTGGCAGCAGCTGCACAGCGTCTGTCTGTTCCTCTCCCTCCCTGTTCTGTGGATAGGAACACTACCTCAACACCCACTCCTCCAGTGCTGTAGCTCAATGCTTCCTCTGTTACTGCGCACAATGGAATAAGGATCCTATGACCGACTACGCCTACATGACACATCCTTAAGTCCTTTACAGTTACTTGGCTCACTAAGTGTTGGCTGACACATTTGCTTACCCTGACAATAATCACCTGACTGCATAATGGTGAAAATGATATGCAGCGTTTTGTCCTGAGAATACTTGTTCTACACTCACAGTTCTGGTAAACACTAGTGGCTAGGTTAGGTCACGACTCAGTGTGGTACTTGGGTTTTGATTGTTATCATTAGAACCAACTGTCAGGGCTGTCCGTCAAACGTCACAGAGGTTAATGTGCCTGGTGGTGGAGTGGTTTAGGGCACTCAGTGTACAGTACAGCAGGTTAGAACCCCAGCCATAACTCTTTGGCAAATGACTCTACAAACCATTTTATTCTGTCCATGGTTTCAGAGTGATGACAAACTGGGACTGTTGCTGTAGCATTTAACAATTCACACAAACAAATTATCTTTATCTATATATTTTGAAAGTGGAAAAGTAATCAAAATAGCAGAAGCTGAAACCATGACTATATTTCCTAGCTAATAAACTTGTGCGGCACCCCAAAAAAATGTTTTAAAGAAAAATATTGATCTAATTTATGCTCCTCAATGTCCTCAAAGCTATAACAATGTGACGCAGCAGAGAGGTTACTTCTTTCTCTCAAAACAGAGGTTGTGGGTTCAATCCCAATGCTCCTAGCAACTGTTACATCACAGAAACAGCAACAACAAAAAACATGTCAGTTAACATGGAGGGAACATGTAGCCTCTCTATGGGTATCCCGGATCCTGCTGTCAATGTGCTTACTAACACGGCACTTCTAATTGAACCAAGTGAACAAATGAGACTGTCTGTGTATGTTTCGAGTAAGTATTAACCCTGAAACTGACTGGTCACAGTTTATAGAGTCCCCATAGGCTTCATACTGTACTACTGTACATAAATCATCTCAGTACAATAAAGATTAGAAAGGAAATTAAGACATTAGACGGCAAATAATTTGGGATGGGCATGATTTGTCGACTAATTGATAATTGATCATTAAGAATTTCATCGATCACATTCATTTTAATCGACAAACCAAATGTAGGTTACTGTGCGTAGAGTAGCGTAAGGAGATGAGGCTGTGTCAGCTCAGACACTGAAGTTGTGGCCTCACAGTCCCATGTTTTGGCTCTGGCACACCTCCTTGGAGATCACTGTACCACTCAACGAATGCGTTTACATGCACATTAGTAACCTGTCATGGTGCATGTATACGCAGTATCCCGGTTACTGCAACATAAAGTGCATGCGTTCCAAAAGACAAACACTTTTCAGTGTTTTCATCACAACAGTAGCCAAAATAAAGTGAGCGAAATGACTGTTAAATAAAGAGCTGTGCTAAGAGCTAAAAGCAGTCCTTTTAGTTTATGCAAATTAGCTATACAGTTTTAAGTTTCGTTTCTGTAAAACATAAACAAATGTGCACAAAGCTGCATTAAACACATTATAATCTCAAACAGGCTCATGTGGCTCTATAGGGGTTATGGTTTATATGTTGTAAAGTTGAGTTTATTTATGCAGATTAGTAATAGTAATAATAATGATCATTTTAATATAAAAACGTTAATGATTAATCAAAAATCAATCGTTATTTCTCCCGACGATCGATTAAGAAAATGCAATCGAATGCCCATCCCTAGTTACAAGTATATTTTTGTATACAATTTCTTAAGTTCATTTTCCTAAATACATTCCAACATAAAAGTCTAGTAAAAACCTCATTCTAAATGCCCTACATACTGCACCGCCAAAACTGTGCACTGAATTATTTACAGACAAGATAGATCAATAAAGAGGAAGAGAAAACAATAAGAAGCGCATACAGTGACCTAAATGAAAAAGTTATTTCTCCAACCAATACACTCTTTCTATGACAGCACATCGCCTTTTTGTCTATGGGTCTGTTTCTCACTGCAGGTGTCTTCACAGCAGGGCGCCAGGAAAGAGACTGAATAGTCACATCTAAAATCTATTACTGGTGTGGAGGATAAGTGAAAATCCAAGTGCCAGTGGGCGCATGTCAGCACAGTGGGAGAGAGAGCAGTGGAGAGGGGCGAAGTGGCCAAACTCGGAAGAAATGAGAAAAGTAGTACGAGCAGAGAACAAGGGCCAGGAGAAGAGGCGAGCGACGTGCTTATCAATGATAGTTCACCTCCCGCTAGCCGCCACGCTGTGTCTGTGCATATGCCGGTGAGGAGGAGAGGGGCTTTTGTGAATAAGCGCAGTGTGGGAGTTTGTGTGCAGGTCTAGGCAGTGCTGCTGGATAATGCCTGCCTTTCTGCTCACAGCGGTGGAGGAGAGCAAAATAATCCTCCTGGAAAACAATCTAACACCAAGCAGAGGGGCAGAGTGGATCCAGCACACAGGTATTTGGACACTCTGATATGTCTGTACAACTGAGTCCAAATATGAGAGACAATGTTTGGCACCTTTTAGAGAAAACAGCTGTGGCTAGGCATGTCATAATAACTACTATATTGACTTAAGGTTCAATAAATGATAGAGCATCACAAACAGAACTACTGGAGAATTTATTATTATTATTTAGTTTGTAGTGCGATAAGATTTGAGCTGCAGAGAGTCACAAGATGCCAATGCATTTCCTATTTGGAACTCTAGGCATTCTTTCAGGAGCCCCTACTTAAGAAGCCTTCTACAAATTTATTTGTACAAATTTATTTGTAGAAGTGTGCTTTCTTTAAACAATATAATTTATTTAATTAAATATATGAGTAATTAACTTCTATAATGACTTTTGCCATTTACTTAACACAGCTTGTGTTTTTAATCGATATCGTACATTTATAATCGGGTTGGTATTGGCACCAGCAGTTACTATTTCTGACAAAAGTCAATATTTTCCAAAACTATTCAGAAAAGCTCCACATTTTCTATTTTACTCTCAAAACAACTTTTGGTATTGATTAGTACATCTGGGTTTGACAGCCCTAAAATACAGTACAGTGTTTGTTTTAGATTTATTTTAGAAACCTACTTGCATACTAATGGGGCAGCAGCAAGAC